GGCTTAAAACTAGCAAATAACAAGATGAAGAGATGGCTGCTGCTGAAGTTAAGGAAATAAATAAGATGACAACAAGCCAGCACTGTAAAGGGTGACTTGTTTTTCAAGAACAAAAAGAACTGTAGCTGGCAACAGTGGCAATAGGATTATTACGTTACCACTTAGGAAAAAAGTAGAGCTACTCTTTTCCAAAAGGTTTTGCAGCTTTGACTTAGTTGCAGCTGTTGCAAATATCTTTTACATGCAGTGGGAAGTGGAAATTTCTTGTTCTGCTTGACAGGTTTTCTGTGGATGGTCACACGTCACCAAACTGGTTATTTAAGTTTATTTAAAGAGTTGTAAGCTTTGTGAATATTTTGTAAAAAGCAAATAAATCCCACCAGCACTAAACTTGGGCTGCTAAATCATCTATGTACACATGAGCGTAGATGAGATGTGTCGGTCAATACAACTGTACATTTGGGGCGAAAGGACCTGAAATTATAGGTCAGATCACAAGATGGGTACAGATGTCCCCTAGGGAGGAATAGTAGCTCAACTTACAGTGGGACTGCGCAAAAGATGAAAGCAATTGGGAAGGAAGTGGATAGTCATATTTCTAAAATAATTGAGTTTTGTAGGTCTTTTTATATCTTATCTATGTGGGTGCAAATGAATCTCTGCTGCACAAACAACTGATATCCTTTCTAACAGCAGCAGCACTGGTGGAAAGGGCAGCATGGCAGAAGGCACTGGAAGGGTTAACAGAAAATTGGTTTAAAATAGGTTAGAAAAATGAATACATGTCCAAGGGGCTAGGCGAGCCAGATGCTTTCTTTGCAACATGGAATCCCCTCCTTAAATACACTGCCAAAGGGCACTGGCTAAAATTTTGGTGGGATGTGCTAAGAGTTCAAAAGCGGCCTAAACTCCCACAGGCAATAAGCTACTCTTATAAAATTGTTTGATATTGTATATTGATTTTGAAATGTGAATAATGAAAGGGGGACAAAAGAATGCCACTGTCCTATTGGGTTAGTTACACTAGCGTGTGGCACAAACAGCAGCAGTGAAGTGCCAGTTATGTGAGTTGGTGCGCGACAAGGGATTCAAGCAACGCCTTGTTAACTAGACGTTTGCTACTGTGAATTATGCTACTGCCCTTAATACTGGTGTTTACTAGCCAACAGAATTTTAGCTAATGTTCCACTACATGAAAATCAAGGGTAAGGCAAATTTAGGCTCAGCTACATTTGAATATCCCATGCGGCACAGTGGCCAGAAAGATGGCTATCACTCAGGGGGCCTGGGTTCAAATCCCTATTCAGCCAATGAAAATTCACTGGGGGTGCGAAACGGGTGAAAACTACCAGTTAAATATCTCACTTACCTTGAAAGCCCTGTTAGGATTGCTATAGGTCAGCTCCGACCTGATGGCACATAACATTTAAATGGCACATATCAGCTCGCTTTGCTTCACAGGGCACTGCTTTTAAACCAAAACCTAACACGCACTAGCTATTAAAAAAATCCTCATGCTATTAATTACTGACAGATGAAGGGACATTTCCCCTTTAGTTTTATCTAAAGTGTAAAGGTTAGCCACCACCCTCTTCCCTGACTGTAATGGTTTTTATTGCCGTTCCATTTACATGCTGCTATGATTCATGAAAAAAGCAAGCTTTTATGGCAAGGGTGGAGATGGCACCAGAAAAAGCTGGACGAACAGGCAGAAGTGCCCAAGGGCATGCGCCACACAAGTTACTAACAAATTTGTTCTGCCCAGATTTGAATTCAGAAAATATTCTCATGGTTTCTCATGCACAAGTTAAATGTTACAAGTTCCAAAATGGCACATTAAAGGTTAGATATGAATACAATGCATGCAAGACCACAGGAAATAATCTCAGAATGGCAGAGCTGGCAAGGACCCCCTAGATCAGGAGGCACTGTGGGGAATTGAACTCCCAACATTTGTCTCCGCAGCCAGAGTCTTAAATCACTGAGCTATTCAGCGGCATCATATATTCTACAACAGGAGAGTACAATTTGTAGCTTTCTGATGTTGGACTGCAGCTCCTGCACTCCTTCGTGGTTGGCTATTGCTGCCCAAGGCTGGACTCCTGTAACCTCTGGAAGGTCATAGATTCTTGGCCCCATTCTATAATCAATCAAACCCAAATTTTCATTCAGATGGTTCCCTGCCCATCTGCTGCTCCCTTCCATTATTTGCTGGTGGCAACATCTTCCAACTGCATTACAGTGGTGCCTCGCTTAGCGATTGCCTCGTTTAACGATGTATTCGCTTAGCGCTGAGGTTTTTGGAATGATTTTGTGCTCCGTTTAGCGATATTCCCTATGTGGAAAATCTGCATAGTGATGTTTGAGACCTTGCCTCGTTTAGCAATGACAGTTTTAGGTCCCCTGTTTCGGTTAGCGATGTTCCGTTTTCGCTATTTTTAAAGTGTCTTAAAAGATTCAAAAACGGTTTTAAATGCTTGGGATCGTTAGTGCACCTTGCAAAACCTGTGCAGGGCAATTTCCTCAAACGGTCCGTTCAAAGGCTTTCAATGGAGAATAAAAAAATTCACCAAAAATTGACGACGATTCAGAACAACACCACATTAAGTTTGCATAGGGTTCAGGAGGTGGGCTAATGATTGCAAGCATTTAAAGCAGGTTCCAAACATTGTAAGACACTTTTACAGGAGCGAAAAAGGACTTTGCAAAGCCATTGAAACGCATTGAGTCGGCTTCAATGCATTTCAATTGGGGAACTGGGTTTCACTCAACAATGCTTCCTATGGTGATTTTCGCTTAAGGACGGCAATCCGTTCCAATTGGAATGGATTAACTAGTTTTCAATGCATTCCTATGGGAAATGGTGTTTCGCTTAGCAATGTTTTCCCATAGTGATGTTTTTTTGGGAACCAATTAACATCGTTAAGCGAGGCACCACTGTACTCAGTTTTAGTTCTTTATTTAATTGGAAGCTGTTGTTTCCTCTACTATCCTAGAATTTCTTTTACTCATACAAAAAGCAACTAATATATCTGTCAACCCAGTTCTCCCAGAAAACACTTGAAGAATAGCACCATACAATTTTCAATTTAATTTAAAAAAACCACAGCACAGCAGTTCTCGCCCACTTCGTTAAACCTAGAATTCTTACATCTTCTAACAACTGTGCTGCAGACTAAAGGCCGGGTAGTGAGTGGGTGAGGCTTTGTTCCAGCTGAAACAGCTACTGCACCGTCAAAACCAAAGAGGCTGAAGTCAAGACACTGAACAAGCCTGCCAGGGAAGAGGGGGTGGCCCTGGCCTCTTTCTTTGAAAAAAAAAAGAAGGAAAACACACTGATCACCATAATCACCCATCTCCTGAAGGGGACAACAGCTGATCTGACAGCCATAAATACTCAACTCCAAACAAACTGCACCAGAGCACAGAGTGCTACTCCTGTCCTCTGAAGATGCTGGCCACAGAGACTGGTGAAACGTTAGGAAGAACAACCTTCAGAACACGGCCAAAGAGCCCGAAAAACCCACAACAACCATTCGCAAATACCTGTTCCCTTGCTTACTCTTGGCACTAGTTGGAGGACAATCCTCTCAAAAAAGGTTAAAATATATAGAAAGCAGCGTTCTCGAGAAAGCAATGATCACTAACATAAGGTGTGTAAAGATGCAGCAAGAGGCAGGGGATCTTAACTGAAGCAAAACCAATAAAGTCTTGTGACACCTAAAAGGGACTGGGCTTTATTTAGCACAAGTCATCGTAGACTGCAGGCCACCTCTTCACCTGATGAACTGGCATGCAGTCTGAAAAGCGTATGCCAAATAGGAGTTGGTATTCTTCAACAAGCCCCTAAGAGTCCTCATTGGTTTTGCAGCAAGAGATTAATACAGCTACCCCCTCTGGAAATTTTCAACCAAGTCCTCTGTCCAAGTGCAGATCCTTAGGTAGCCAAAGCATCTAAGGATTTATGCAGAAGAGACAGAAAAATCTTGTGGCCCAAATTATTCTTGAGAATGTGCATCCCCTTCTCTCTTTAAAAAGTAAAGCCGTTGGGAAAATGACAGGAAACAGCATCTGATTAAAGAAGGAAAGTAATTAGCAATGTTAAGAAAGGAAGACAATACAGACCTAACTGTATACGTGGAAAGTTAAGAGACATGGGTTAGATCACTGGTTCTTAACCTTGGGTTACTCAGGAGTTTTGGACTGCAACTCCCAGAAGCCTTCACCACCAACTGTGCTGGCTGGGGTTTCTGGGAGTTGCAGTTCAAAAGCATCCGAGTAACAAAGGTTAAGAACCACTGGGTTAGATGAACCGTGGCTACTGAAGGGGTAGAATAGGGATGGTAAAATGTGTGGTCTTTCAGAAGCCTCTGACTAGCCATTTCTCATCATCCTATGCTAACTACGGCTGACAGAGGTTGGAGTCCAAAAGCATCTGCTGGGCAAACCCAAGATCAGAACATCAGTATTGAATCCACAAATTTGCAAGACTAATCACCGCAAGACTATTTTTTTTAAAAAAATGAGATTTAGAAACCAAAGGCTTGAAAAGGTAAAGGTAAAGGTTCCCCTTGACAATTTTTGGCCAGTCGTGTCCGACTCTAGGGGGCGGCGCTCATCCCGCTCTTCAAGCCATAGAGCCAGCATTTGTCCGAAGACAATCTTTCCGTGGTCACATGGCCAGTGTGATTTAGACACGGAACGCTGTTTACCTTCCCACCGAGATGGTACCTATTTATCTACTCGCATTTGCATGCTTTCGAACCGCTAGGTTGGCGGGAGCTGGGACAAGCGACGGGCGCTCACTCCGTCGCATGGATTCGATCTTACAACTGCTTGGTCTTCTGACCCTGCAGCACAGGCTTCTGCGGTTTGGCCCACAGCGCCACCTTGTCCCAAAGGCTTAGATGCCTTTAAAGCATACACAGAAAAAGAGTGCTAATTCGTATAAAGTGAACTGTTTTGTTGAATAGAAATAAGCTACAGGCAATACACTCCCATCAGTGTTCAGGATGAAAACTTTATCTTAAGCAAAATCAGAGAACTTCCCATAAATACCAGGTATGATTCCCTACAGCTGCCCATTATAGAAGACATCTTTTGACAGACCCCCCAAACCTTCAGGCATTTTTTCTGGCTCATCATTTTCACATTTTTTAAAAAAGGAGTGCACATGTATAACAATGTCACATTTAATACTATCCCTCCCCCCCAATTAGAGGAATCCATGCTCTTTGCTCCCTAAAACAGGATGCACGGCCATAAACCAACAGCTAGACTGTTGGCAGTTTTCGAAAAATAAAATTTGGATAGCTATGTGTAAACTTGCAATTTATTGGCACCAGTTACAAAATAAAACATTCAGTCATGATCTTCTGTAACATTTGTGTCAATATGAATTGTTGTTATCATCAGAATGAGAAACAAAATGTATTAGGAATCCCAAATCACTCTAACCACTTGTTAAGATCCGTGTTTCCTCATTCTACTCCATGGCGGCATTTGGAATGCCAAACGAAGAAGCAGCAGAACGGTTATGGCACCCTATAACTTCCTCTCATCCACAGAGCCGTAAGCAGATCCAGGTTCTGCCCCACATAAAGGGAAGGGTGGGTACTTGTTCGGCTGTCCTGCCCATTCTGGTTCTCTCTTCTGGTCCTGAAGTTAAGCCAACGAAGTAAGAATCCAAAACCTTTTTGTCAAGATGTTGCAGACTGTTGCACTGTCCCTTTCAGGTACCACATGCCGCCCTGGCTTACACAGCAGTCCTGGAAGAAAGGAAAAAGCTGTTAAGCAGCATTCTTATCATCACCCAAAGGAGCCCTACAGAAGAAGGATTCTGCCCCTAACTGCATACCGATGGAATTAAGGTCACCGGGTGGAGGGGAAAGAGGAAAGAGGCAAATATTGTTCATCCAAGGCCCATTAAACCAAGATCAGGGAGGCATCCAATGAAGTGAAAGCAGGACAGACAGGCCAGAGTATTGCCGACTGCAAAATGTGGGAGGCAATAAGTGGCACTGCCTCCCCCAGTGTAAAGGAGAAGAAGGGGGCACCTCCCACTTGTACGCAGCAGCAGCCCCGTGGCTGGGACAATCTCCAGTGCAAAGCTTAAGAAGCAAAGTGGGGGGCTTGGGTTTTATGACCTGCTTCCGGGATCTTCAGTGCAGGAATGGGAGAGACCCCTCCTCCTGTCTTTCCATGTATACCCCGGTGGCATTCGCCAAGGGAGAAAATGGGGGAAATGCTTGCCATTGGGGCTCTCTGGGGACGGGGTCCCTTTCAATATGCCCAGGACTCTCAACCCAAACAGGACCATGTCCATCGGATGTGAAAATGAAGGGACGCACAACTCTTTAAAAACCCAAGCAGCTGTTCCAGATCTAGGTATGTTTCTGCTCTGCCTCCCTCCGTCTCGTCAGCTTCAGCCACTTGTCATGTGTTTTAGCAACGCAATTCACCTCTAACCCCAAACCCCTCTCCCAGTCCACCTGGCTTCTCGCTCCTCAAGTGGTTCCTGGGGGGGGGCACCTCAAGAGGCACCCCATCCTGTGGGAGCCACGGAGGTAACCGAATGAAAAAAAGGCACCCCTTTGCAGCTGACTTGTCGAAACAGTCCAGGAAACCTACAGGGACTCTCCTGCAGCATGCGTTCAAAGCCTTTCTCAGGAAGCATTCCCTCTCGCCTCTGACAGAAACACTCATCCGATCCCAATGTTTGGCTTCCTGTCTGGTTTGGAGTGTGAATTATAGGTAGGAAAACACGGATCTGCTAATTGGGGCAATTAGCAGCCCTCGTGCAGGCTCACTTTAAAAAGAAAGTGTGCGTATGTGTGAGATAGCAGCGAATACAGAGCTGCAAAAAAGAGAGTAGACAGACAGGGGCTTCTCGAGGCTAGATCAGTCCTTTGGGCGCTCCTGTCCCGTCCCCCCCAGCCTTCTCTCTCTTTGCTGCTACAAAGCACTCCCAGTTTAATGCCCGTGACTGCAATAAAAGGTGGCAGAGTTGAGTAACTCCAGCATGACAGCTGGGATGTTTTCTAAAATACTCCATCAAACGGTCCCTCTCATTTTCTGGACCATTGTGCGGCAGCTCTGCTTCAATCGTCAGGAGTTTTAGCTGCAACTAGAAGCGAATGGGTGGAAACATGGGGGGAGGGCATGGCGGTGTGCCCCCAATGCAGTACTGCATGTCCCTGCACCCACACAGCTGAGGGGGAATATTGACTCCATCCCATCATACCACCCCACCCCAAAGTCTTCTTTCCACTTTCTCTGTTGGCATTCCTGCGCCCACCACACTCAGCACAGGTTAGATGACACACTTGCCCTGCCGGATTGAATTGTGATCGTTCAAGGTTTTCCTCGGTCGAGAACTGCCCCCTTTCTCAGTCTCAACATGACGTCCAAAACAAGAGGAGCTAAGCCATGCATTTTTGAAATGAGCATGAAAACAGGAGGACTGCAAAGCCAAAGAAGCACGCAAGGTGCTTAGGGCGACTGGGGGTGGGATTTTGCTCCTAATGTTTTGCTGTATTTCTACAAATCTTGGAGTCTCCCCAAAGTTGCCGACGCCTGTCTTGTGTTTAGGCAACACCACTCTGGCTTCACAAGGTTTAATTTTATTTTTAAAAAGAAAAACATATTTTACAGTCACCATGCACGGACGTTAAGCCAGAGCTGAAGTGACATTGAAGATCTTCTTTGCTTTCAGGCAAGGCTTGGAACCCCACCTGCCAAATAGCTTTGGCTTCATTGCTTAAGGGATCCAAAAAATAACCTTTAAAGGTGATTTTAATTAAGGCTTTAGACGCTATTGATGTCCCAGGTAAAGTGCTGCTGCAGGCAATTATGCAATGCAATTAAGACAACGGGATTTAAACTTAAAAGGCAGCGGCCTCTGAAAATCTCCTAGAGCAAAGGAATCCAATAATAAAGCTAAATGTGTTATTGCCAGCACACCACCTAAGTGTTGAGTGTACATATGTCTGGCAAACGATTATGCTTTTGTCTCTAAAGCCATCTGGTGGCTTGTTGTCTGGGATTACATTCTTAAACCCACCAGGGATGAAAGGATACTGCAAGATCTTCGGGGAAGGCTGTAGTTGCCTATGGTCAAGAATGTATTTCGCACAGAGGTCTCTGCTTCAATCCCTGGTCTCACGAAGCAGGGATGGGAAAGATTCCTGTCTGATACCCAGAACAGCTGCTGGAAGTCAGTGCCGACAGAGGGTCGGGAACACCAGGCCCCAAGGACAAACAAGGCCCCTTAGCATTCCCCAGACCATCTTCCCTTTCTAAAAATTGGTAGTTGCACAGCTTTTCCAGAGCTGCTGCATCCATGTGCAGCAGGAACGCCTCTCTTCTAAGGGAAGTAAAAGCTTTGAAGCAAAAATAGTTTACCCTTCAGCCTCTGATCTTGCCTGCTGTTTTTGGAAGACAGCCTCTCCCCCCCCCCAAATTCTTAAATGAACTGCTGGATAGTTCAGTGGTTTAGGCAGAGTTTGATTCCCCACTGTGTGTCCCTGATAGGGTCCCTTGCAAGTTCTAATATTATTATGCGATTTACTTCTTTATACCAAATTGGGCTGAAAGAGATTCCTTACCTCTGGCAAATAAAATTAAATAAAATAAAATAAAACCACAAGCCAGAAAGAAAAATGACCTGATTTAGCATTTGGCAAGTCGCTTTTCATATTTGCATCTCCTACCATCAACTCCAAGAGTAATCAATTGACTAGATGGGCAGGGTATAAATGCAATCAATCAATCAATCAATCAATCAATCAATCAATCAATCAATCAATCAATCAATCAATCAATCAATCAATCAATCAATCAATCAATCAATCACCTTTCCTACAGCTTTACCATTCATTCTCTCCTTCTCCTCCCAGCCCCCAAATCCTTATACAATGGGAAGGAAGGTTTGGTCTGTAACTTCCAATGTGGAGGGGAAACTAGTCCATCCATTTTAATCTAAATATACACTTTCAAAAAGTAGCGAAAGACAGCAGAATTAGACTGGGAGGTTGCATTTTAAATTTTGTTCCAATGCATTCATAGCTGTGTTACCTTCAAGACTTTATCCACCTCTTGTTTGTCCAGATCCTCACCATATTCCTGGGCCAGCTGGTTCTGGATTACATTTCTACGCACTCGGTAGTTTTTGGAAAAAATGTCAAGCAAAATCTGCCGATGCTTTGAGACAGAAAGAGGGAGAAGGGAAAAACAAAGAAATTTGAGTTAGCACAAAAAGGAGAACAGTTAAAGGCAAACAAGTGAAGAAAGTCAGAGACTACATAAAGCCTTATAGCATCATCATCATATTGCACTTCTTATTTCTTAGGACTGCTGGTGCATGGAGGGGTGACGGTGCATCAAAGGGTAAGCCAAAAAATTAGGAGTCAAGCCTTAAGAACTTGCAGCTAGATGACATATTTGCAAAATCACCAAATTTAGATTTAGAGGAAGCAAACCAGGAGCTACTGGGAATCGCTTCAAACTGTTGATCAAAGATTTTGGAACAGTAACAGTTACAGTTTCTTGCTTTAATGTTTGGTATTCAGCTCAAAGCCGCACCCTCGGCTGTCCTTCTCTCACTTTCTCTTCACCATAAGGCTGCAAGTTGGGTCAGAATGGCAGACCGACTGACCGATGGCGGGTTTTGTTGCTGAGTGGGGATTTGTACCCAGAGTCCGGAGTCACAGTCCAACATTGTAACCACAGCATGACATGAGCTTCTGACCACTCGAAATGGAAGTATCATTTAATATCATCAGAACATTTTATAGAATTGCTTCATTTGCACCAGCTGCTTACTAACAGAGATATAGATGGCATGATTAAACAAGATATTTTCTGACACAGGTAGTCCTGTGATGAAACCAAAACAATCATTAGCTCCCTGGTTCATCATCTGAACTCAGGAACTAGGCGCGTCGGTTTCAAAACAAGCCAGCATCCACAGCCACTATCTGAAGTTGGTTTAGTATCTTGGCTTGATCCAAAGCGGGTAACCACTGCTTTTACAGGTTTGGATGATACAGGGTATGGATGCCAATTGGAGACTTGATGAACCCTGAATGTTTGGCCTAATTTTAGATAGGTGGTCATGTCAACACAGCTGGGGGTCACGGTCCGTTTTAAAGGACAGTCTCTGGAGGTGCAATTTCCCCATTTTGGAACAAGTAAAGTTGGCATGAGGGCAGATTTAAGTCCCCAAACCTGCCAAAACATTCTTGGGGGGGATGCCTGATTCCCACCACACTTTCTAACCAGAGATGCCAGGATCCAAACTGGTCCTTTCTGAATTCAAGAGCTTAAAGAATGGTGGACATGCAGCTGGGTCGATGGGATGAAAGCATCACAACGGCTGCACAGGACACATCCAGAGACTTAAAAACAAGCCTCTCCTCCCTCAGGCTCTTCCTAGGGACTGAAGGCACCCTGCTGCTGATCTGGCTAAGAATGTGTGAATGTTTACGTTTGTTGGATGGGTCACTCCGAAGCACAGACTGCGCAGAACAGGCACTCCAATCCTTGGCTTACCTGATCATACATGTCGCCAGCTTCCCACAGGGCGAAGACCTTCTGTTCATCTGGTAAAGCGGTCGTCTGGGGGGGAAACTAAAAATAGGTTTCACCAGTCAGGATTATTGGCTTTAGGTTGTGTGTGTGTGTTTTTTAAAAGCACACCCAGACACACAACAGTAAAAAGTAAAGGTATGCAGAGATCTATTCGGGGAATTCTGGCAGTTTCTGTCCAAAACCATAAATCAACACACCTCAAGCCAAAGAGTTTACATCAGTGGCGGACATGCAAGAGGGAGACCCCAGGAATTGACAACCTCAGCTTCAATGGAATAGAGTGTTACCTCGCAAGACAACAACACCGCTAAACAATGAATCCGCATAACGATGAGATATTTTGATGAAGAGTTTGCATCGGTGGCGGACATGCAAGGGGGAGACCCCAGGAATTGACAGCCTCAGCTTCAATGGAACAGAGTGTTACCTCGCAAGACGACAACACTGCTAAACAACGAATCTGCATTACAATGACTGTTTGCGATCGCTATAGTGATTTGCAAAACAGTCATTCCAATGGGGGATTTTCGCTTGATGAAGATTTAGTCCGTGCTTCGTGAACCATTTGTTCGTAAGACGATGATTTTTACAGCTGATCATTGGCTTCGCAAAATGGCTGCCCTGTGTTTTCCGGACCCATGCTTCGCAAGACAGCCATTTTTACAGCTGATTGGTGCTCGCAAAATGGCTTCCCTATGAGCGATCTTCACTGGATGACAAGGTATTTTCCCCATTGGAATGCATTAAACGGGTTTCAATGCATTCCAATGGGGGAACGGATTTCACATGACGATGATTTCGCTAAACAGTGATTTCAATGGGACGGATTATCGTTGTCATGCGGGGCACCACTGTACAGGCAAAACTCCAACTTGGTTCCCTTAGTGGGTGGATCCAACCTATCAAGTAAAGTAGTATAGAAAAAAAACTGAACTTCTCTTCAGGCTTTAAGGAGAATTTGATTTGGGGAGACAGCAGAACCTGGCTTGTAGAGAGAAGGATCCCATCACTTAGTATTTGATCCTTTTAAATGGGGGTGGTGGAATCTGATGCAGCCCACATGAACCATCCCATTTCAATTCCAACAAAAATGGCGATCCATACTTTGCTCCTTTGCCCCTTCCTTAACCGGGAAGACTTTAACCAACCAGTTCTCTCTTTTATCTGAATTGAAAAGCCAACTAATATTTCTGGGGGAAACAGAATCTTAAGCCATCTTCAACAAGACCAACTAGACAAAGTCCCTTGGATGACCCAACCTGGAAGGAGGGCTAGGGCAGGAGCTCTGGATCATAATAATTAGAAGATGCCTTAGATGCCATCCGTTCCAACCCTCAACGGATGCAGGATCTCAACACCAACTGCATTCCTGAGAGACATCCATTCAATTTCTGTTTAACTACCTCCTGCGAAGGAGATTCGAGTTATTCTGGAGTCACTCTGTCTCGCTAACTAGCTCTTAACCATTAGAAAGCTCTTAGCCATTAGAAACATTCTTCAGGAGGCCAATTTTCTCCTCACAAGGAAAACAGAGAGATGTTCAATGCATTCCTATGGGAAATGCAGATTCAACATAAGAACTTTTCAACTTGAGAACCACCTTCCAATACGGATTAAGTTCTTAAGTAGAGACCCCACTGTATCTGAATTGAAAAGCCAACTAATAGCTCTGGGGGAAACAGAATCTTAAGCCACCTTCAACAAGACCAACTAGACGAAGTCCCTTGGATGACCCAACCTGGAAGGAGGGCTAGGGCAGGAGCTCTGGATCATAATAATTAGAAGATGCCTTACATGCCATCCGTTCCAACCCTCAACGGATGCAGGATCTCAACACCAACTGCATTCCTGAGAGACATCCATTCAATTTCTGTTTAACTACCTCCTGCGAAGGAGATTCGAGTTATTCTGGAGTCACTCTGTCTCGCTAACTAGCTCTTAACCATTAGAAAGCTCTTAGCCATTAGAAACATTCTTCAGGAGGCCAATTTTCTCCTCACAAGGAAAACAGAGAGATGAGGTTCAGGACAGACAAAAAGAAGCAGTTGGCTGCATAGAAAAAACGGTGGAATTCTTTACCGGAAGATATGATGATGGTTGCCAACTGGGACACGTTTAAAAGAAGGCTGGACAGATTCATAAAGGATAGGACTCCCAGCGGCTACTAGTCGTGACAGATGGATCTTTCTTCCAGTAACAGAAACAGTACCAGCTCAGCTATTTGGTCATGCAGGATAATATATACAGTACAGCAAAACCCATGTATGTTGAGGACACTACCACCATCCCCTTTACAGTGGGGTCTTGACTTAAGAACGGCTTGAGTTAAGAACATTTTGACTTAAGAACCGCTCTCATAGGAAAATATTGACTTGACTTACATACTTAGATTTGAGTTAAGAACTGAAAAAAAACCACGTGGGAGGCAGGGAAAGTGCAAAATGTGAACTTTCAGTTAACTGTTGGCCAGTGAAAAGGGTGCCTGTCTGCTTCCTCACTCCTCCCAGCGTTTAGAGAGTGGATTGGGAGACAGTCTTCGGACTGCCTGGTACTGTCCTGCCTGGACTGTATTTTCCCTGCCTTCCCTGAACCTTTCTTGACCTAAGAAAAAAAAGAAACAAAATATCCCCCTCTAGTGGTCGAAGGCAGAATAGCAGCTTCCCATTAGTTTCTATGGACGGAAAAGAGCAGATACGGATCAAATGGTTTTCAATGCATTCCTATGGGAAATGCAGATTTGACCTGAGAACTTTTTGACTTGAGAACCGCCTTCCAATACGGATTAAGTTCTCAAGTCAAGACCCCACTGTTTTTTTTTACTCCCAGAAATACGTACGTCTGAAGTGAGAAGGCAGCTGTGTGTCTGGGTATCCTTTTCACATGAGCCAGCACACATATCTTTTATTTTAGTTGGGCTCAAACCCAAAAGGAGGAAAAGGGTTCAGCCCCTCTTCCTTCAGTTGCATTTCCATGATTAAAGAGATGCTGGGGGTGGGCGGGTGGAGGGAACAATGCATGTGAGCGCCACACACTTTTAAGACAGGGCGGATTTGATTTAAATCATGATTTTAATTTTTTTTTAATGGAAATGTTTGACCATTTACATTTTTTAAAAATCAATTTTTAAAATGTAAATCAATTGAATTTTTTTTAAAAAAAAAACATTGGTTTTTATCCATCCTGCTTTAGGCATGACTGGATGGCCAGAATCCTCTACTTGCATAAGGGAAGGTGTGTAAGTCTTGGGAGCAAATTGCTACACGTTAATGAGGTGCTGGTTGTGCTCCTGAGCAAATGCCAGGCTGGGCACACTGCCAGGAAGGCAAAAAGCACCTCAAGTAGAGATAAGAAACAATCCAGGGGAATCACTGTCAAAGTGGGCACTGCTGGTCTAGACAGAATAAACAGCCTGTCAGTATACAGTGGTGCCTCGCTAGATAGTTACCTCGCATGACAGTTTTTTCGCTAGACGTTGACTTTTTGCGATCGCTATAGCCATTCGCAAAACAGTGATTCCTATGGGGGAATTTCACTGGACAATGTTTGGTCCCTGCTTCGCAAACCGATTTTCGCTAGACGACGATTTTGACAGTTCCCTCCGCGCTTGCAAAACAGATGTTTTTGGGACCTAAGCTTCGCAAGACAGCGATTTAAACAGCTGATCGGTGGTTCACAAAGCGACTTTCCTATGGCCGATCTTTGCTAGACAACGACGATTCTTCCTCATTGGAATGCATTAAATAGGTTTCAATGCATTCCAATGGGGAAATGCTTTTCGCTAGACAATGATTTTGCTAAACAGCAATTTCAGTGGAACGGATTATCATCGTCTAGCGAGGCACCACTGTATATGGCTACTTCCAACAGCCCCAAACAGGTCTTTGATTGGTTCTTCTAACATTTGGTATTTATCGGAGGCCCAGCCAATCAAGAAGCCCCATAATGCTTACCAATCAAAGTAACCCGTGTAGCACCCCCTCCCCCAATACTGCAATTGGCTTTGAAGCCAAGGAGGCTCATGGCCTGCCACTCACCTTGTCCCACGCACATCAGATTCCCAGCAACTCATTTCCCGAAACCTGATTTCCAAACAGTGGCAAAAACTACAAAAGCCTTCGTCTTATTTTGTCAAAAGGAAGTGAATCCGAGACTCCCAAGATGCTGAACAGCTCACCCACATTTCCATCTCTGAGAAGCGCAACGGCAGATGTGCTGAGAAATTCCCCAAGCTCAGACACATCAGAGCCACAGTTACATGATTAAATATTTAAAGTTGCTTCCACGGTAAGGGAAAGATGATTTCATTCCCCATCAACAGGGGACTGGTAAAAAGTCCGATTTCTAGGCCAAAGAGGGCCACAGCGGCTGCATGTTTTGATCACCATCACCACCACCACCATCCTAGAACGGCAGAGCTGGAAGGGACCCTGCGGATCATCAAGTCCAGCCCTTGCCAAGAGGCACTGTGGGGGAATTGAACTCCTAACTTCTGGCTCTGCAGCAGATGTCTAAACCACTGAACTACTGATGTGAAACATTCACTGCAGTGCTGCAAGACTTCCTCCTCCCTTTTAAACAAACACCATTCATAGCTCTAGTTCTGCCGACATTCTACAAAGTGAGTTCTCAAATCTGAAAAAGAAGTGATAAACCCTTAACACTTCTTTGGCTTTCTTTCTCATTCCTCTGATGGGATGCTCACTCCTTCTTCAGTTCAATTCAGACATCACATCAAACCATGATTTGCAGTAACCATAGTTTAGAACAGCAATCATTGTTTTGAGATTTCCTAATTAGGGGGTACAGAATCCCATTGAAAACTTGGGGGGGGGTTCTTGCAATGCATGCACAGAACTCTTGCTTTTCCTTTCTTTCTCTCTCATCACCAGGAAGGAGAAACTGGAAACTTTCCCTTCCCATTGAAAAAAAAAGTTAGTGAGAACTGGGATGAAATTACCATTTCTTATGCTAGTTCATTCTCATTAACGAATTGTAGTCCTATGAATTTAGATACCAGCTTGTTTAAAATCAGACACTTC